TCAGCCCTTGCGCTCGCTGTTCCCACCACCGTGGTGGCTTTCCTGACTCCCCCCCACACCTCCCAGGGGTTTCCTCGGTCCCTACAACATCCTCCTCCTTGTTCCCTCTCATACCTCTGGCTCCTTTTGCTGCCGTCTGTAGTTTTGCTCTTCAGGGGGATTTTCAGTGTTTGCATCATTTGGATTTTCGCCCTTTAACTGACCTTTCCCCAGCTGAATTTTCTCGTCCATTTTGTGCTTCCCAATTACACTAAACACATTCGTCAGGGTTTGAAAAGGTCAGAAAGAGCCCGTGTGGCTGATGCAGCCCCTTCCAGAGCTTTCTGCCCTCCGCTACCCCCAGGTGGGAAGGCAGGAGGAGAAGCACAGAGAGCCGTGCCGCACCGCCGTGTCCCCGGCCGCGTCCGTGCAGGTGGTTGCTTGGGGCGGGCGTGCGAGGGCTCGCTCACTGGGGTTTGCACAGATCATTCGTTGGGGATGGGAAGGCTGGAGAACGCGCCGGGAGCCTGGATAATCTCCGACGCAAAGCCCCATCTGTGCGAGGGGGACAAAAGCCGGGGGGCTCGGCCCTGTGCACGGCTGTTGGCACACAACAGCGCTGCGTCCCACGCGAACCCAGACCGTGACATCTCCCCCGGCAGCGCCGTCCTCCTGCATCGCGACCTTCCGCTGACCTCAGGCCTCAACGCAACCGCGTCCCCGTGCTGATGCGTCCGAAAGCACACGGACGTTACCCCCAGAGACGCAAAAAAACCTGTTGATCCTCCCAAACACGCTCACAAAATGTGACTCAAACGTCCTGGAAAGCTCGGATCAGCCTGGTTCGTTAGCGTGGGAGCTCGCGGGAGGCCTGACAAAGAGCAATGGGCTCAGCCCCCTCAGGTGTCCGCCCAACGTTGGCATGACCTGCTCCGGGCATCCTGCCGCGCTCAGGTTCGGTACTGTGTGTTCGTTTGTCAGCTGTGTCCATTCCCGACGTGACGGCAGGTTGCTTTGCGCCTCGGTGCTGTCTCTACTATTCCTTTCTGGTTTTCTTTTTTCAGCCACAGTCTTTCCTCATCACTTGATGATGAAAAGTTTGATTGTTTCTGAGGATCTGAGGAAATCACTTTCTCCCTTCCTCGCATTTCAGACCCTGGAGTGGAAACTGCCTTTCTGTCGTCGACTTTCTTCTCTCGCCCGCTGGCTGCTCGGCTGCTCCCCTCTGATTTGGACGGCGCTTTCTGTTCGGGGTTGATGGTGGTGGGGGGATTTTCACCGTGGACACCCGGCCCCTCACAGGCACCTCAGCTGCTGCCTTTAATTGTGCTGTCACGTCCCGCCGTTCCCAGGCGCATCCCGTCGGGC